GAATAAAATGGGGTGGCTTGAAATGCAACCGAGTGCGTGAACAATGACTTATGGGTCCTTTGTCTATTACTGCTTTACTGCTATGGAAGTATTGCCTCTGATTCGAGAATTGCCGATCCGGACAACTCAAATTCCATATATTCATACCAACATGGCGGATATACTAAATACTCAACGCAATTGCACTACACGTACTACAAAAAAATGAGCTGGTATTGTTAAAATTTAGTCCTCGGCTCTATTTAGACCTTTACGTTGCAATAGCCTGAGCTTTAATTTTATAATATTCACACCAAGATGGTGGATGCACTAATTCAAGTCAATTGCATTGTGTTTATGGGTTTTAAATTAAAAGAAATGCACAAGGAAACTATTCCAACCTGTTTGGTAGACGGTTAGCGAACTAGTAGGTCTTATCCCCACCCCCACTTTAATCTTTTTCGCTCTGTGCGATTAGTTTTGATAATTATCACGATTATCCTTTCGATGTTGCTAATTTATTGCATTTTTGCATTTATTTCAACATAGTATTTTATTTACTTTAACAACTTGACCGATATCTTGTACGCTTACTATTTTCTGTTATAACCAAGTTACTCTTTTGTAATAATAGAATAGAAGTTATAGAATTTTTAAAGATATTTGTAGTCTTCACGAAAAAAAACAAAAATTTGTGGGCGAAAACTGGTAGAATAGGTACCATTTTTTTTACAAGCACCATAAAGTTTTATTGCTTATTCCAAAGTTTAAAAAGATTACCACAAAAAGGCATTATGAAATCGAAATTTATCAACGCAATGGATGGGGAATTTTAGTAACATATCGAAGAATGTTGATTAAAAGCACTTTTATATAAACAACGTCATAGATTCATAGGTTCCTAATGCGCAAGTGTTCTACACGTGAGTTTTTCGTTTAAACATAAATAGACAATTTTGAAAGTGGTTCGTCCTAAATGTTTATTCCGTATGGAAAGAAGTTCCAAGTTTCTCTGTAACTCTGAACATATCAACTCAAAATCGGAATCATTTATAAGAAGATGGGTACCCAAAAAGAAACTGCAAGAGCCGAGGAATGATAACGTTAAGGTCATCTTAAAAAATGCTTCAAAAACTGCCAGAATCGAAGAATATACAACTGTGTTGCGAAATTCTCTTTAGCGAAAAAAACGACTTAACCGTTAAACTATCCATATTCGAAAACATCAAGGAATTTGTAGATAAGCTTGATTTTTTGAGCCACCACGTATCGGGACCCGACCGTATATCGCCCGAAAAACTTTTATCTAATCTCTATTTTCGTGAAATTTCCAAATAACAGAGCGTGATCGATATGATTCCGTTTGCATGTAAAATACGCGACCACTGTCGTTACAAACATTTCGGTAACATAATCCGAGCTATGCGAGAGAAGAAAAAATGGCTAATTAGTGATGAATCATCACGTCGCGAACTTAAAGACACTATCCGTCACCGTTTCCGCGTTCGTCTTCTCAAACGATCCTCCTCTTTCGATTACAGGAGTAAAAAAAAATCAAAAACAGATAAAGGTGGGATCCGAACCAACACGTCCAGCTTTGAACGATCGTTACGTAAAACCCAATTAGTCGCGTCGCGTGAGGTGAAGAAATCGACTTCATCGGCCCAATAAAATCCGGTCGTTAAATGCACTAAGTATACACCTTTATGGATGGGGAGGCACAACCACCAAATAGCAATAATGACTTACCAAACACCCTCAAGTAGCACATTTACACCGCCAGACTTGTAGACGCCAGTCTGTCTACTCAGTATCTGCCGCCGCGACGGCCGTCACTGCCTACTCCACCCCGTGCGCAGCCATTCATCCCCCTCGCCTCTCGAACATCCCCTCCTCGTGCGACGCGCTCTCGCCATTGGCCGCACGGATTTTATTTCAGATTAATTTTTACCGCATCCGTTTTTTTTTCGCCGCGCTAGTTTTTTAGTTTTTTTTTCTACGTTTTGTTTTTTTTTGCAGACATTTCGCAAATTTTTGCAATTAGTATACGCGCGAAATCTCGACTTTTCTTTCCTTCAGGAGTTTCGACCATGACGAGGCGTAAATGAATATTATCACCCGTTATGGTGATGATGACGTTGGACAATTTTTTATTTAATTTATGGCTTGGGATTTAGAGATCGGGGTGGTTTGATATTCGTCGGCCCCCCTGCCGCCATTATACATAGTAAGTTTTGATCGATTAGACCATGGGAGTGTGCGCGCCGATGGGCGGGAAACTGGAAGCCGGATCGGTTTAGCCGGTCTCTGGTAAAAAGTGTAACCCAATTTTGGCGTAAAGTTGCACCAACCTCCCGACCATCAAAAATCAAAAACCGTTTAACGTTATAACAGCCTGCTCCTAGGCTTGTACAATTGCCGCTGCATCGGGGTAACAAACCATCCACTCTACAGGTCCGCTTCATCAATTTTATTTAAAATGCTTTTTTATAAACTTTTATTAAGTTTAGTTAAAGTTAGAAGAACGCACTGAGAGCAGACTCTGTCAAGAAAGGCGCAAATGATCACCGACGTGTTACTCTACATCCTAGTTGCAGTACAATACAGGCTAAAAGCTAACCCTCAATCTCTGTTGATTATAACAAGAAAATTATCAACTTTGTCTTTCAATAGAAATCTGAATCAGTTGAAGAAGATAATTGGGAACGTATTGACTGTATATGCTCGCTATTAAATTGCGAATATAATTCCACTTTGAGAAATGTATAGGAATTATTTTAGAAATGTTAGAACTTTTGATTAGTATATTAGTTGAGAATTACTTTATTATTTTTAATGGCATACAACGAGTATACATTTCCCGATTTTGAGATATTTAAACCATTAAAATAGCATCATAAAATTAATAATTTCTAGGAGATTCTTCAGAGTAACTAAGCTGATTTGTAGAATAAGGGGTCCAAGAGAATGTCCAAAAATTATGGAAAATTAAGCCCGCGAAACCTCAAAAATGTTAAGCAAAAAACCTCCTTTTTTATTCGCAACTTTCCGTTGTCTTCCCTGTACACAAACTATAAACGTATTCTTGCAATTTAGAAATATTTTCACTGGAAAATGGTACCGATCAACGGCATGGGATTTTCTTGTGACGAATGAATTTCATATATGCCCCAAACTGACAAGATGAAATTAGTTTAGGAAAACTATATATATACGCCAAATACTGTTCTAAGATCACATATCTTAACAAAAAAAAAAACGTTGAAATGGAAATTTGACATAGAGTTGGAAAATGAAGATACAGGACAGCACAAAACCCAAATAGCTACTATAGTCGCGGTGACCGACATAGTGCAGGGAGTAAGTTTTTGTGTCGAAAAATTCCCGATTATAAATCCTTGCATTGGTGCTACATCTGTCTTGTTACCCTTTTATCTATATTTCAACGAAAACGGTTTAAAAAATGATTTGAAAATTATTATGCTGATATATCTCTAGTCAACCTGTAGTCTTTTTACTTCAACAGGCTTGCAGACCGTTACAGTTACGTCACATATATATATATATATATATATATATATATATATATATATATATATATATATATATATATATATATATATATATATATATATATATATATATATATATATATATATATATATATATATATATATATATATATATATATATAGATAGATAGATAGATAGATAGATAGATAGAAAAAAGCAAATATTGTTAGTTTTTGATAAAAATTATCCTAATACTACTACTCGAAGGCATAACCTAAATGACTAGACTACTTTTCCTTAAACACAAATTTAAAGGGCTGTTCCCTGATTCCTCTCTATGCCGGGCGAAAATCAGATTTGTTAGCCGAATTTTTCAATTTCCAACACATATATCTCTGACTCCCTCATCCGTCTCCACCCGTCGGCAGGACTACGAACTGACGTCAGGGTGCTGAATCGTAACTATGGCAACCATCTGGGGATGCCGTAATCCATCTTGTTCCTTCCTATTCGCGTTCTCTGTTTCCTGGGGTTAATATATCTTTTTCTAATACAACAAATTCTGCCATAGCCGCTCTCACTCGCACCCACAATGTGTGCGTACCTTATTTTCGACAAAGCATCAAAGTGTATTATAAATAGATGCAAATATTAAAATTTTAATTAACCTTGTTGTTTGGTTGCTCGGCTAGGTTGTTTGCACACCGCGATGAAGAATTGGTAATTTTGAATTTTTTTGTGGTTCTCAGCATATTTTAACGTGTTGCATCCTTGAGTTGAGTCAGATGTTTAAATATGGAACGAAAGTAAAATTTCCCAGAATTTTTGAAATTCCGTTTTTATTTTCTATTTGGTGCAAGAACGAATAACACATACCGATATAGAAAATGCGATAGTTTCTTCATTTTTTGTTAACAATGCCTTGCATCGTGCTCTTGGTGAATTTTATTTATTATTACACAACTCTTGCATCTTAGCTTATTACATTAGATATCTACCTTTGTCTTATTTGAAGCCCATGTTTTGACCTTAGATTGAACATTGGTTAATTTTTTCTAACGTTCGCGTAAATTTAGTCGAAGATTAGTCATTTAAACATTTTTAAGTGCCAGGTTGTTGAGATCAACTTGAGACAGAGGGTTGGTTTTAAAGGGTATTTAATTATTATCTAAATTATTGCACATCATTATAACTAGTAGTAGTAGTCATATTGATAAAGATAATTATTTTTTAGACAAAGGTGTGTTTTAAAGAGATTAAATTAATAATGCAAACTTTGATACTAGTACTTCACCAAACTACCGCGGTTGATGCTTATATTAACCACTTTTCAAGTTTTTTGCAGCAAATTCTCTTTGTCTCCTCACTGTCGAAAAATTCGTTATGGTTTTCAGTGACAGTCACTCAAATTGGCTCGATGGGCCACCATTTATTTTGTGTTTGTCAAAACGTTTTGGCATGGAACCCAAATAATTTTATATATTAACGTGTTAGAAAAACACAACATGTAAACAGGCACATATTTATTTATAACATAATAAACACAGTAATAACATTTAAGTATACAAACATTCTCATATATAATATGGATATAACATATATATATTTTCCTTAGTTGATAACTCATTTTTACGAAAAAACATATATATAAATAATTTAGAATTTAAAAAAAAGAACAACGTGTACCTTGTCTTTCTTTCCTTATTTCAGGATATGAGTATAAATCAGATTTGCTTCTCCCGAAGCGGTAATTTTTCAATTATGATGTCAGTCCGATTTGAAAATGTACATATAAAAAATAGGGATCTATTTACAGGTCTCTCTTATACTCTAATAACATTTGCAATTAAAAAGATAATAACACTCTCATCGATAACAAAGCTGCGCTAAAATGCAAAATAAGGCCTCTGACATCAATAAGTAGGACATGAATTAGCCTCCACCAATGATTTAAACTGAAAAAAACAGACATGAAAATAGCTATATACCTACGATACGTTTTGCAAGAACCATGCAGTCTACCACGAATTTTGTAAATTTACACGCATCCCCAAGGAACTCCGTTAAAAATACTACCATTACAAGCAATCGAAAAAAAAATCCTCTACTTACAATCTACTTAAAAATATGTACAATTTTCTACGTAAAACTTTACGATTATACGACTCTATATATTATGTACATACTCTAGGAATTACTGCAACACATCGACAAGCAGGCGTGCCTCTTAATGGTAGCTATTACCTTGGTCGAAACAGCTGGGATTAATAAAGTTGATCAACTCGTTTTCCGTCAGTGCAGTGAAAGACTGCGGAATCATCCTATCGTCGGTCTTTTTGTCGGTGGCGGTAGAAGGAGATGCCAAATCGTTCACGGGCAAAGGTACAAAATCGCTTTTGGACTCTATACTTTTCATAGCTGCCGGACCACCGAAATGCTGCACGAAATTGCGATCCATGGAGCCATGAATTTGTGTCGCCAGAATCGGATTAATAGAGGTCGACGAAGACACTGTGATGTCGTTCACGCTCGTATTCATCTCGGAGATTTTCTTTTGGGTTTTGAGGAAATCGACAGCGGCCTCCAACAACACCGCCTTTTCCGGGTCGGTCGCCAATATGGGTGCGTGCATATGGGCAACTTGCGACATCAACGGCCGACTACTGCTAGTGATCAAGCTCGAATCGCCGACCGGTGGTGTCGCTTGGCACACGGCCGGCAAAAGAGATTCTGGCTGCACGGTAGTGGCGCTCTGGCAAATCATGGCGGCCGGCAGTATAATTTCCGGAGTTATGGCGTGCGCGTGATTCGACGGTACCTCCATTACGGGAGATGGCATCCTGGCGTTAATTACAGGGGACACCATCATCTGAGACTGCGTCGTCAACATGACGTCTTGCGGTGTGATTATCGTTTCTTTGTTTTGAAGAAAGTTGGTGTCGGCCGCGGCACCGATGTGAGACTCCAGCGTCGTGTTGACAATCTCGTCCAGTTTCTGATTGATGATGATCGGCTCCAGAGCCGACGTTAGGGACACCTCCGCGGTTTTGGAAGGCAACATGTCGCCGGAAAATGCAGCGGTATCGGTTTTGACGGCGCCACTTAAATATCCGAATTGCGATGCGCTACTAGCGAGAAGAGGGGTAAGCAGTTTCATCTTGTCACCGTCGGCTGTAACGGTCGACTTGGACTCAATCTTCGTCAGGTAGTTTTCCACGCTTTGAGCACTCTGGGTGGGCAACGGGGCGTTAGTGGGCTCGATTCCGAGCTTCTTCAATGTCGCCATAGACGTAGTCGTCGCGTAGTCACCCTCATCACTTAGAGGCAATTTCATCCTCAAATCCATAACTTTCTCGGTGGCACTCATAACCGCGGGTGGAGTTTCGGGTAACGTCGTCTTAGCCGCTTCAGCACTCTGATGGTGAACCACGTCGACGGTGTCCTCCATCGAAACGCTCTGGTTCGAGTTATCGCTAATCACGGAACCATGGTGGATCATATCGATAGAGTTGTCGTTGATGAGCGACATGTTTGAGTCGTGATTAACGTCCAGGGAGCTTTCGGAGACAGGTCGGTACCTCTCACGGTGCACCTCGATGGTTTCCGTCATCGAACTCTGGCTATTCTCGTCGATGTACTCTTGTTTCATGGTTTGTATCGGCGGAGACTGTACGTCACTAGACGACGGTAAACTTACGGACGATCTACGGGTGGACATGGGTACCAAATTAGATTCGGGCGGGGGCATAATTTCCAAATCGTCCTCCCTTTTTTGGAGCGGGGCAGACCACAAGGCACTTTTAAAAAAGTGAGCCGGTTGAGCGTGTTGGGCATCTAAATGCACTGCAAAATACAAATTCGGGTATCAGATACTTTATCTGGCGCGGCCGGGTCTCAATCAGTAATCCGCCATCTTAGCCACATTAAAAATAGGAGGACTTGCCCTCAAGCCAAGCATTACTGTTTACTTTGTTGAATAATATACCAATTTAATTGAATGAAGCAACAAAGATTATCGTGGCTTGATAGACATAACCCATAATATTGACGCCTCTCGTGCACTGTCATTTTGTCACCTCAACCCGCACTGACATTCGCGCATCCATTTTTGACAGATCATCTGAATCCCACAACAACCGCAAGGATATGTAGGACCAAATAATATAATCTCAAAAATTGATAAAATTTCAGGCCCAATAGAGTTTGGAATACAGATAATGTGATACACAAGAAACCTCTCTACCCAACATTACATTCCCGCGTATATCTAGTAGCAAAATTAAGATTAATTGTTCAAATCAAAGCCTGAAATCGTAATATATGTATAACACTCGTTATGGACTTAACTAGCATGCTGGACCTTTAAATTATTGCACTTGTTTAGCACAAGATTATAAACGTACACGCAATAATATATAAGCAGTGATGGAGATGAAAAATGAAAGCGCTAGCAAATACTTAATACGTATAGCACTCAACATTCAAAAAATATTTGTACAGTCCGCATGCAATTTGAAAGAAGTTATCGTATTTATTAAACAGGCTAAATCTCATAAGCTTGACCGTTTTTTTCTTGCTTGAAATAAAAGCAAACCTTTTTTTTTTTAAACAAATACCACCAGGTTAAAAAGTGAGAATAAAATTCTGCAAAACAAAACCCCTTTTAATTCAGCAGCAAAAAAAATCTCGGCTAAATGTTAGCTTGAACAAGAGAAAAATATTACTGAATTCATGTTTTTTTTTTTAATATATATGTTTAAAATAGAAAGCATCACATTAATTGAAAGACATAATCATATCAAGCACTCCACACATTTTGTAGAACGATCGAATAATGTTTTTACATGGCTACATGGAACAGCATTTTGATCTTACCAATATCATACAAAAAAATCCTTTTTTTTACTATCTCCCTTATATTTATAATTTTATAATAGTGTAAACCCAAAACCCAGTTCCCTAACGCAGCTTTAAATATTAAACAGGTCACTAGTAACAAAAATTCTTTTTATGTAATTCGTGTACAATCGATCCGCATTGACACGATGTAAGTCGTATATTGTTGTACAATAAGTCAGAAAAAATGCTGTATTCATTATATGGCCGAATGGTGCACAGAATGAAGTCGGTTAAAATTTAGTTATTGCACCATGTTATGTATCAATCACCTGTAGAGAGGATTCTTTTAGGGACTTCATGGGAAACGGGAAAACATCATGGAAAATCAAAAATTGAATACTTCATTTTTGTAGTAATTCGATATGTCTCTCATTCTCTCACTGCGTTAACATTTTGGGTTTTGCACAGGGTACTAGCCATATATAAAAATACCTGTAAAAATATAAAAATTAAAGTGTCCCCCGTAGGTGCACCGATATTTTTTTAGATGGCCCTGCCTTAAAAATATTGCTTTTTTTTTAATAATTGCAAATCTGATAATGTATAATCGGCAAATTCTACAGAATAAAACTTGCAAAAAGGCGTCATATTTCTTTTGTATACTATCAGTCATTAATAAAAATAACTGTGTGGTGACGAAAGTTTGTAATTGTTCTGTTGAAGTTATATAATAGTGTATGTGTATTGTGTGTGACATGAGGGATGTATATTGTAAGGGTGTTTGTATTTTTAAGATATAAAGGAAAGTGTAACAGTTAAAGTAATTCGAACTTTAAAGAATTCAACACCGATTTGAATTAACCTGTATCTATAATATATATAATATAATATCTATAATACAAAAAAAGTAGACGGACTAATAGTTTTAAACGCAGGTGGTAGATAACGCACTTAAAATATTTTTCTAAATTTGCCTCATTTAATTGTTTCATTTTGGTTGAACTTTCAAACCTAAGAGAAGTGCAAATCCATTAAGTTTCATAGAATTTAATAAGACTGTTTTGCAACAATCTCTACACTTATGTTAACTGGGGCGATATCTACCTAACAAGTGCTGAATTCATTCAAATCGGAGTGGAATAGGATAACATTAACAACTACTACTATTAATTATAAAAGGAAAACTTGAGAAAATAAACATCTTAGTGCAATGTTATCTTAATATGCTAGCTTTTTATAGAAACTGATAAGAATGATTCAAAGCAAACAACACAAATCGAAAATGTCGGGAAAGATGTGAAATGGTGCACTTAATCTAAAGCGTTGATTAAAAAAAATTGGACTCGCACTATCTTCGAACACCCACAAGCATCCTGTTTTCGTTTTACGTATTAAAATTTCGATATTACTAAACGTATGGAAGCAATAAAACTGTATGAAAAATAGAACGCAATCGCAAAAAAAACCTTAAAAGTTTGTATAAAAGCCAGGATCGTATATGTAATTGTAAATATGTTTGAATGTAAAATGTATCAAGTAATTACGTGTTTGTGAGTGTGTAAATGAAGTGTATTTTATTTTTTTAAGTACCCGTGAGACTAGAACCTGCACGACGGACACATCAACGGACGTTAGGCACCACAGCTTGATAGTAGACGGTGGCAGGCAGCACCATTGCGTATACAGAGCCTATATGCTGTATGAGACAAAATGAAAAAAGCAAACGCATTGAAATTTGTACGTCAAAAAGTTTGTTTTCAATATCTCATACACGTAGGTACGCTCAAATTAGTTCGAGCGAACATTTTGTAAAATTTTTTGACAGGTCTGTCGGAGTGACATTTTGGCAATTATTACTCGCTGATCAAAAGAATTCTTATCCCAAGTAAATCACACACACTTTCGGTACTGATATTCCAAATGGTACAAATATGCTTAAACTACTACTTTATTATTTGAAGGAATTTTAATGTTCTCAATTAGTTGATATTTGATTTGATGTAATGTATTTAATAAACTTTAATAAACTCAATTATAGATTGAAATTCAGTCTACAGAATCAGCAACTTAACTTGAAGATTTCTTCGTTAAAGAATACTTGAATATATGCCTTCAGGCCTTTAACTCTTCTTCTATCCGGCGGTAGGTAGACGAGAACTAATTGACATCCTAGGACACTACACAAAAAAGTCCCTTGTGTATTACATCCTATCAATATTATTTATTTATTTACTTATTCATAGACTCATCCATTTAATGATATACATTGAAAGACAAGTTGATATTAATTTTGAAGCGAGTTAACACTACACAAAAAAGTCCCTTGTGTATTCCATCCTTTGATATGCAAAACTTATTTACCAGCATTCCCCAATCAATATTATTTATTTATTTACTTATTCATAGACTCATCCATTTAATGATATACATTGAAAGACAAGTTGATATTCACTTTGAAGCGAGTTAACACAAAGACGTCAAAAAATTTTACAGTACACAGTAAAAAAATGCAACCTTTAATAATCATTATTTCAACAAAAATATTGGATGAACTTTATACAAACAATATCATCATTAAATAATTATTACATTTCAATCGATATGAAAAATAAATACATATCATATGTGGAACATATAAATACATTTCACTATATACGTTATATTTCATTTTACACATTTCTCTTTTGTCAAAATGCAAAATAAAAAAATAATACAGTATTTAAAATATCGACGAATGAAGGTTTTCTTTTTCCTAAATAAAACACAAAAAAATGCACATTGTAAAATGTTCTGCTACTGCAATGTACTGAAACTTGGTTGAGGTTATGTTATACTTCATATAGACGCTATAAGTGTCTATTGGTCTAATTAATCGACACTTGGGATGTCAAAAGCACAATGGATAACATAACCTAATCTGAAAACGTTGGGGCAAATAGTGCACTTCAACATTTAAACAATCCTACCTTTCAATAATTTTTTGCACACTCTCCAACACACGATATACCTTTAGTTTAAAAGATTCCAGGTATATGCGTTCATTCACACTACATGTATACATCAATGCACCATTTGCCGCTTTTGGTAGTAAATTGTTAAATAATCAAAATACGGTTGCCCCAATTTTCAATAATGACCTTTTCTTATTGCAATTTCCAATCAAATTAAACAAAAATTGCGTCCCCTTAGGTTCGTCAAACTGACATGACAAGTTGAATTATCCAATGTAAACCCATATTATTTTCATTTTTTTTATTATTTTACTTCATTAGGATTTTATTTTTATTCTTTGTTTCTTCGGTCATTGTTGCAATTACAAATTTCATAATTAATATTATGTACTTATTTTCCTCTGCAAAAGTATTTGTCATTCAACCTTTGGAGTCATTTACAAAACATAGATGTAGTATTATTAAAGTTACCTCATAAAGAAATTGTTCAATTAATCTGGTTGGGGTAACCGTATTTGCTAGTAATTTTTTAAAAAGCATAGTGAATAATTAGAAAATTGAATACAAGTGGTAACTGTCATTCACGATACTTTTTTATTATTTTGTAAGGTTAGTAGCCAAATCCTATGGGCCAACTGAATATTAATTTGTTATTTCGATTTTCCACGATCCATTAGAAATAGAAGTGATGTAAATTTTGAGAATTTAATTTTTTCGTTTACATTATAAAAACGGGATCGAAATAACGATATTAAGTCAGCCTATCGTGCCTATAAGTTCTAATAAGATAAAATTGATCCTTACCGCTTGGAACAGCCCCGTTAACGGGGGTGTATACAAATTGATGGGATTCGCTAGTTTTACCGCTCGATACTACGCATAACCTAACCATTACTGGCTCGGTTATATTTGATCTGCGGTAGGGGGGTACAACACACACAAAATGTGTCTGAAACAAAATTTTAAGGCTAGTTTACACTTTTTTTTTAATTTTTTAAAAATATTTGAGAGTGCAAGAAGTGCTATAGCGCGAGTAGTTTTTATTTATCTTGTCCCATATTGAGTTTCCCTGTCCCCGTAACCATATTCAAAGAACCAGACGAAGAAACTGACCTGCTGCAAATATTCCTTGTCCGGAGCTACAGCCGATTCCCAGCAGACCCTGCTCTCTTCGTACTGCTGAAAATATACTTTTGTGTCTTTCAAGAAATTTTTGCCCAACACGAACAGTTCCAAGCCGCCACTGGCCGGACAGGAAGTCAATGATTTTTTGCATATTTCTGGTATTCCCGGTGGTTGTGCTGCAACAATATGCCACGAGGTTAGTTTTACGCGATATTTTGCGTTATATAGTGAAATTATTAGAAATAAGGACACACCTTGAGCACTGCTTAGTCAAGGAAGTTGAAAAGCCGCATTGCGTGTTTTCAGTTATTGTTTTAATCGTGGGTGCAATAAATAACATTTCCTCAGCTACGCAATTGATCTGTGATATCATCATTCCGGAAAGAGCTGGCTTGTTATTGTAAGAGTGTAAAAACATTCAAAGGGGGTTAAAAAAAGTACCTAGAATCAGGAAAAATGCAAGCTAACGGAATGTTGTGCGTGCGTTGAAATGATAAAAACGCTTTCTATTGCACGCTTAAAGATAAATTTTAGGCGCTAAAAAACAGGAAGCAATAAGTTTTATCACTTGAACTTATCTTATCGCCAGAAAATAAAAATAAAAATTTAACGTTTTTATAATATCCGCCATTGCCATTTTCTCGAAAACCCTCAACTGCTCCTTGCTACTTTTTCTAAAATTGGTGACGGTGGGGTGGATAACCCGCGATTACAGCATTACCCAAAACCAATGACTTGTAATTGAAAATGGAGCGCTTTGTATTTTAAAACTTTATGTAACTTTAGATTTTCCAAAAAGAACAGTGACACTGTTCCCTTGTCTGTTGTCTATGAATGAAGTCCTACGTGACCCATTTTGTCATAGCAGACTAATACTCACTGCAAATTATTGGTTGAGAACACACTTGTAGTGTTTCTTGGGTACCGTTGTCGTGTGTAATGGTGGTGCGAAATATCATTCTGCAACGAGTCGATTTCTTTTTGCTCCGGTTCCCCAACTGATCCGGAAACCTGTGTTCGACGTCCACGTTCCTCTCCTTAAATGATATAATAATGTGATGTTCAACCACAGAAAAGAGCGTCAGCTGCGCGGGACTACCTTGAGAATACCAACACAGTCGCACGTCGCGCACATTTCCTTCGACGGCTCAAACGCCAGTTCGATGACGCAGGTACCCTCTATTTTTTTTTCGGTACATGGCGTCGAATTTTTCCCACTAACTTTACACGCTTGGTAAAACATATGGGGCGTCACTTTCCCCACGTCGGTCCCTATGTAAACCTGCAATGTCACAGAATGTCATATTTTTAATACAATAACCTTCTATAAGACCCAGGAAAATATACAACAGACACGTTCTTTTTACACTACTTGCATTATGTCAACAAAATCGCAGCCCTCGATACGGTCTATGCAACAGTTCGAACTAATCTACCTGTTACGGTATTACAGCTAATAATTAACTCGCTATTACCATTGCCGACCAACTGCATTCGCCTCGTATATCGTGCAGCTTATACTTTACTCGAAAACGGTAAACGCAAAAATTGTAGCTCTCAAAGCTCTCTTAAAATGACGTTAAAACCAAACGCATGTAGTTGCCACGGTTTCTCAGTTACGACTAATAATTTACCCCAGAAAATGGCAATTTTTAGTTTTTTGACCGTAATGGGCACACTCTATACATTTTTGGCAAAATCAATAAAAGATGGATTACTGCCCGGAATCTCGCGTATATTCCCTACCAAACATTCTTTTAATAGAACAACAGACAAAATTACTTTATTTTTAATACTACGCAAAATTTGAAACCCGCAGCTCGAACCGTTCGAAAGTTGTCTGCCATTAAACAGCCCCGCAGCTCTATTCCGGAGAACAGACCCCGGAATAAAAATTACAATTTGTTTTTTTTTTCACGCTGAATAGATCTGAACCGACGGACGGCGGACCCGGGACCTCGAGGTTAGTAACAATTGACATCACAACCGCAAGTTTTATCAAAAAGTTTGTTCACTGTCTATTAAACGAATACTAGATCATGTCAACTCAGAAAACTTGAACTGTGATAATTTAAATAATTGTTAGGCAATTTAAATTTCAAGATCCTGAATTATTAAAAAAAGCGTTCCTCACCTGCAGCGTTGCTGGTTTGTAGTAGCCGGTGAGCTGTACGATCGGAAACCCATTACCCTCCCGGTCCTTGACTGCACCCCTGCTCCCTTCTGTCTGGTATCGAGCCCTATGCTGTTGCTCGGGTTGCTTGACGATGGTTAACGCGATATCGCCTGAAAGCACGTTGTTTTTAATGTTCACGAATACCATTTTTAATTGACACTCTTACTAGTGTGTGATGTTGAGCTGAGCTGAGCTGTCAGAGATAAGGGTGAGGTTAAGGACTGACGTCCAGATGTCGTCATACACCTCGAAGCGGTCCTAGTGGAAGTGGTGTTCGCGTTGCTTGATATACTCAGCGACGAAACGCTGACCGATGAGGGAACGGTTCGGATTAGTCTGAAGACACGTTTGGGTTAGTAAAAATAATGTAAAAAGAGGCCGACATTTTCACTCACGACAAGTTTTCCTTGGGTTCACGCGCATTGGCAGAAAAACAGTATGCGCTATTTGGATCTTCGTTTTCAACTTTAATATCCATACGCAGTCTCTTGGATTCTAATCTGTCGTCGGACCAGCCCAGCCTCTCGATCATGGGCATGGTGTGGTGGTGTGGATCCGTTTGGTGGTCATGGCTAGAAAAATAACTGAATTAGAGATGGACGAGTGATCTTCCGAAAGTCGCGGTCGATTATATACAGAGCGTTATTTTATTGTTATCTAGTTAGTATAATCAGTGAATCTGGACCACAACCCTGAAAAGTTATTTTTTAGTTGCAAATAAAAGTTGGTGGAGATACAACAATAAAAGTGTTTGCGAATTTGCGAATCCAAGTCGATTTTGGATTATCAACGACAGTGTATAACTAGAAAGAAAATCACGACCATATATTGAACTGCAGATGCGGAATGACGAAATAATGAAAGGTGACTTGTTAAATAATTTGTGTAGAACTGTACCTTTTTGAATAGGGAATTCTCGAGTGTTAGTGATTTTGTTAAAAAGAAAAACTAGTTGTTCTGGTGGCGTCACTTTCTTTTGTAATTTGGATATTAACACTTTTTGTACCTCGATTTATACGATCCAGAACCCTTTGTAGTGTTAGTACACAAAATAATAAGTCCACTGAAACAGTTTTTTCATATTTATGCTCATTAGACAACGGTTGCACGATTTGTTGCATGTCGCTGTCATTTCATCCCACCGAAAAATCCAGTGGCACGACAAACATTTTATACCAAATTGATGGAGCAAATTTTTCCAAAATATCAGGCGGAAAAAATTATAACCAGTATTCTTGGCATTAGTCCCTCGACCATGAGATTGATTTATGAAATTATCTGATGTTATTTCAAAACACCCTGTATTGACAGATGCCCGGGCTTAAAATATTACTTTTACTCAGTTCGAAGAACAAGCGAGGCAATTACCTAGTAACATGATTTTGTCAACACCCTGTATAATAATTTGGGCGATAGAAAAAAAAGGCTCGAGGTTTACGGTACGCCAACAAGTTAATGCGCGTTCAATTTTTCAATTATTTTATTTATTACGTTTGATTTTTAAAATGGCAATTCGAGGAAAACAAAAAAAAACAATCGCGTAAACTTATTGACACCGAAATAAAAATTACAAATTGCAAAATAAAGTTAAATTTTCGCGGACTTTGACGAACTCAAAAAAACGAGTCAGACGAGAATGAAAGTTTACTTTTAATTTGATAAAAATATAATTAAACTGTTCGCAGCTATAGATTCACTTGTTACGTTTAATTAAAATGCGATTAGTTAATGTTGGGCCGATATTGACAAAGTTAAATTCGCCTACAGAATGCGTGATTAATTGGTCTAAACATAATTTAAAATAGCAAGAAAAAAGCTGGATAAATTGATTCAGACAGGTAACAATTTTCTAATTAAAGTGGGTGATTCGATATATTTTATATAAATAAATCTAATTTGTATCAAAAACTGAAAAATATTAAAATTCTTTGGTATAGGATAAAAGAGGTAGTCATGCTAGCTTTGGTGTTACTTTACCACAATGAGTATTACCTCTATTATTCATAGGCTTGTGATACTCACCCCAAACCGCTATCGTTCGAGTTTTCACTGGAATCCAGGCTTCTCCTGTATTCCGATCGAATTTTACCTGATACTTCCCTAGGCAGCACTCTTTTCCCGCCGGACGGTCGCCCGACGCGTCTCTGGGACCTGGCAGAGCTCCCAAGAGGTTTCGTAGAAAGAGTCATTTTGCATAAATCTAAAACGAAAGACATACCCAGTCAAACATCGTCGAAAAAATATAACCAAGATATAACCCGATATTGAAATTGAAATCAAGACCTTACGGGGGAAGAAGCACCAAAGATATATGACAATCGATCACATCGAAACTGAATCGGGTGCAGTAGTTATAGTTATTAAAAACTGAATCGGGTGTTCCCCCAAAACATCGGAAAATACCCAACAAAAATAAACACGCGTACGTGATCTAGAAAATACTAGTTTAATTGAAATTAATTAAGGGACTAATGCATTAACTAATTAGTTAAATTAGAAAAAACATTAATTTCTGGATCCACCACATCGAGTTTTGATTCCCCAGGCCAGCGCTATTATTTCATACAGTCATACCTAATCCTTTTGTGTTGATACGGCAACCGCTTTAGGGTCGCTTAACCTCACAATTTGTGGATTTTACGCGTACGCAACTCCTGCACTTCAGCACATGCTCTTTGTATACATTTATATACACAACTTTTCGTTCACAGAAAGGATAAGAAATTGTCCTAGTTTCGCCATTTTCAATTTAAGAAAAAATTTAAAATGGATATATCTTCTTATCTTTTACATATATTAGCCTATTCAAATATCACCCCTTACTATACAATATACGGTTTTGTTTGGTTCTACACGTTTTTATGTGTGTCCCTGTTTAGTTTGTCATATTCAGGGAAAAGGTACCAAAACTCCAAAACAAAGGTAAATTAAAGGTTAGTCAAATAAAATTCCTGAAGGGTTTTTATTATTTTAGGAATTCTTTTCCTTTCCAACAATTCAAATCCAATCGCTTTTTTGTTTCATCATGTGTCTAGAGTACGTATTATATATATACATGTATCGTGTGATTAAAACTTTGCGTCTTGGGCCTATAACAAACGTCACACACTTTTTCTTCGATAACCGTACCACTTTTTTTTCGCAAAATAAGGTAGAAAATGTTTGTTTTTTAAACCATTTTTTATCAAATGTTTTTTTCATCTTTATTGATGCGCCAACTCTAATACCAAAAAATTTGCTTTATTCAACTGGGATCAGCATGACGGTGTTCCCCAACATGGAGCTAGGATTTAGTGTTAATGGACCGATAACATGGCTATCGCATCGCCAGACCTTGATTCTTGATTTTTTTCTTTGGGTAACTCTTAACAATCAAGTCTAGAAAACTTTCTCAAGAGACCTAGAACATTTAAAAGAACAAATTTCGGTGCCAAAGCTGGTAAAACAATGGAAACAAAAATTTTTGTCAGTGAAAGCGGCTAGCGTCCTACGCAACATCGAAATTAACGACTCCACGTAGGCGATGACAGCTCAAAGAGTCGTCTCATTGGTTATCCTAGAGGATGGATATGATTTCCCAAACATGACTAAAACGAGAGTTTAGGACATTCGCACAGGATGTGTGTTCTACTGTCCCGTCTTTCTGTTCACGTATCCAGCACATGGGGGTGCTATTCAAACCCAAACTGAATTGGGGTTTGGTAACTAAGCAATCACCAGTATGGATATAGTCATTTATTGTTTGGTTACTGTTTCGTTTGAATAGCCTCAATAAATTCCATTTATCATTGTTTTAGAAATTCTTTGTGGGAGTTCTTCGTTACCCAACAGTATGGTTTCTTCTGGAATGCGTATACCCTTGAATCCTACTAGAGGTGACCACATTGTCGACTTACGCGTCAACGTTCTAGAGCTAGTTCTAACGTAAAACGTCGTCTATGAAGTACAAGAACTGCCTGTTTGCTGTGTGTGTAGATGCATGCAATCGTTTATGCTTCTTTAATCCTGTTTCTGTCGATTTCCATGTTAATCGAGTGTCGCCCCAAGGTATTTTACCGCTTTGGTAAACCTGAGCTTCCTTTTCCTTCTGAAAGGAACCATTTAGGTCTTCTTGATGTTGATAGACAAAGCGTGCGTTGTACGCCATTCTTCATTTATTTTTAGTGCATGATGACCAAATTATAAGCATATACAGTAGTGTAGTGATTTTCGTAATTGAGGCGGTGCATAGGAGTGATGTAGGCAAGTCATTTAGAACCATGAACCTCCGGGTGTCGTGTCCCTTTCAGTGTATGAATCTAGGATGAACACTCCCAGTATTTGTTCCACACGAGCCACCACCACCACTGTCTTGGGTGTACGGATGTTGGTTTGAGTGGTGTCCTTTTGGTAATTGTACCGCTCATATAATAACCGCTCCAAAGAAAACGGTGTGAGCCTTATAGGGCGGCCAAAAACTTTTTATATAAATGTTTTTGTCTTGTTAGGATAAAAAAATGTTATCAAGAAAAGTGATACAAGAAAATATACCTTTATAGTGAACCCTATCAACCAAATTTGCATTATTTGTGCGCCAAGTTTAAACCACCCGGTACATATAACAAGTATTTGTATTATTTGTTTGGTTTACATTGGAAACGAATAGATAGATAGATAGAAAATTTTATTACCACCATTACTGTAGTGGTTAGTTCGGTTCGGTTCCGTCCTATGAATACTTATAAATAAGCAACTGGAACCAACCACTAGTAGGAGTTTCGCTGTTGATTTGAATTTTTTGCGTTTTTTATTTTTTATGTATGAAATAAAGCAACATTAGTTAGTAACCATTGCAGTTTTACTTAAGACATACAATCGTCGTTTCAATCAATCCAATCAGAAAATTGGTCTTGTAGCGCACGGTGGCGTTGGTAAATACGGGTAATATATTTACCAGGGAATCAACAAGTCTGTTTTATTAGTTTTCTCTATAAAGCAACCAAAGTTATCATTATTTGTATTATAAACACATATCGGCATCCTGTAATCCATCCCAGTAAAGTCATTTTCTAGTAAAGGTAAAGATTAACAATATTTTATTCGTTTTCTCAAATATAATATTAACGCTGCTAATACAATCCAAACCTAGGAACTGGTTCGCCATGTCGATTTTCTACTGGAGAAAGGTAAACAACGATCAAATAAAAAAAATGAACATCACTCTTTGCTTTCGTTCCGCCTTCCGCGATGTCTACTTTTAGCCAAGGAACGTGGAAAAGTATTTCAAAATTCTACGGATAGAATTTGTCGAAGACGTGACTTTTCACGAAACAATTGACGATCTCCGACGTCGTTGTGTGTTGAAAAATGCGGTACGAATTTCCTTAATGGGGTCGATAATAACCCGCGATAAAATGGCGATTGAACGGACTTTTTGCAACTGGAAACGTAGTTGCGGTTTAGAAAAAATCACGTAATGGCAGTTAAAACTAATTTCGACTTAATGAAGTTTCGAACACATTAAGGAACTTGATAAGCAAAGGAAATTTTTTTACATTAAACTTTGTTTTGTGTTTTGTGTACAAATGAATCCATACCTCACGCGTATGAGGAGACCTTACGATGAACAAACAGGCTCTACATGGCGACTAGCTAGTAATATAGATTTTAAAAAAGTAACCACTCTAATAACTAATTCCACAAAAACGGCAGTCATTTCAAATTGTAACTTCTACTTAAGAAAACGTGCATTTGGAATATACAGGGTATGCCAACGAGGATTGATCCAGGGCTTAAGAAAACAAAAACAATAGACTAACAATTTACCAAATAAAATATAAAATGACAAGAGATCCCGAGAGCTTTAATAATAATAAAAAAATTGGCTATTTACATAAGTAAATTTACATAAACAAACTATGAACTTCGTAAATACCCCGTAAGCCTCTAGTTGAATACTCTTAGGTAAAAAACGTTTTTAATATCCCGCAGTTCATTAAAATTACGTCGTACCAACGTAGAATAGAGTTTTCTGTAAATTTATAGTTTTTACTATAGAAACATTGAAGTGCTGATTGCAATATGATATTCATAAAAATTTGACCTTTTTCCAACCATAATTTGAGATAGCCTGGTTGGTGATCGTGCATAATATATGGGTGTATCTATCACAATTCAATATGATTCTCATAATCCTATTTTCTTGTAACTGTAACTTATTTAAATCTTCTTTTCTACAAGGTATAAGCAATTAACAAATATATGAAAAATTAGGGAAAATTATACTAGTATACACTAATATTTTAGACCACTGTGATAATAACCGCGATACACGGTTAATAACCCCTATTTTATTACCAATCTTTTTGTATACATATTCAAGATGATTAAAACATAATTGTGGATCTAAAGGCGGATTTCCACCAAACGGACTCGCTTGCGACTAGTTTGTTTCAAAAACAGAAAAACTAAAAACTTGTTGTAGTTTCGAAAACAAACTCGAAACTTGAATTCCAGCAAACAAACAAAAAATTAGTCTGTGGCGTGTTTTGTTTTTGAAGTGTTTTCTACACGTTTCTACTACACGAACAGTTTTCATTATGCCTTCTCTAGACGATATTTTATAATGGCGTGCGTTTTTTTATAATCGAATCTTTGGAGCGGAAAAAGCAAAAGCGAAAAAAACCAAGATACTGGATGAGATCATTTTTAAAAAGACGAACAGATTATGGAACGGACGAAATGATAACAGATTTGGTAACTGATGACATAGGAATAAATGGAGAACTGAGATCATCATTTCATAATTTTGTAAGAATGTCCAATCACGAATGTGAGAAGTTATTAAATGTAGTGGGTCCAAAAATTTGCAAACAGAATACAAATTACCGCGTTGCTATATCTGTAAAAGATCAGTTAACAATAACCTTACGATTTTTAGCTACTGGTGATAGTTTTAAAAGCTTAATGTATTTGTTTAAAGTATCCAGTTCTTCGATATCACGAATTGTGCCGGAAGTATGTGCTGTCCTTTGTGAGGTTCTACAAGAGTACGTTAAGGTAAGTACATATGTAATTGAAAAATCTTTATTCTTAAATTTTCACATGAACTAAATAAATATCATATTTCACATGAGTAAGTAGATATTATCGCAGCTTCATTCATTTAATGTGTTTGCACCAAATGACATCAGTAGATGTTTCATAAGTATGACTTTGTAC